TAAACACTCTCAGTATGGATTTCTCTACATCCTGGCAATATTTCTATTCTTCTCTCACTAGTCATCTATCTCTGGTATTGATTTGGAAAGCAGATTTGGATTTGGAATGCAGATAAATGGATTCAATATGGATTTATTTTTGGCCTTGTAATATTTCTCTTTTATTTCTCTCTGTCCCTGGAATATTTATTTTATTTTATTTTATTTTATTTTATAAAAATAATACCTAGTTTTCTGAGTGACAATTGCAGTTTCTTCTGCTTCTCAAAAAAGTGTGAGTATCCAGCTATTCCAGAAGTTACATGTACATTTCCAAAAGATGGCCTTATACAACCTGTGTGAAAATACTGTTAGTACTTGTTCATAGGAAAACACTACTTTGTTCACTTTCACCTTCTAGAGATTTTCAGAGGTTAATAATTAACACCTGCAATGAAATACACCTGATCATTTTCGTTCATTTATACTCTTACTGTTACACCAACTATACTGTCCCAAAAGGATAGGCACTGGTTACCAATTTCTGCTGAATAATAGATACTGGTGATGTTGCTCATCAGAGTATGATTCACTTTTTTAGCATATCACTGTATATCTTCAGAGCATGAAGAGTTTTGAAGCTTCTTTTATATTATATTGCATTTGATAGTGGTCAAAGCCCAAAAATTCCCAAATAGACAGAGAATTAAGGAAGTTTTTGATCAGCTTCCTACTGAAGACTACATCAGTGAAAGTGGCCTAGACATCATCTTTCTTTTAAAAGATAAGCATCTAAATATTAGACCCTAGGCTAATCATCATAGCTTTCCTTCAGAGTTATAGGGAGACATAAGCATATCCAAATTCATCTGACTTATCATAGAACAAAACAGATTGACCTCTGGAAGCAGACAGTTCTCTCCAATACTAATAAGAAAGCCTACAATTTAAGCTAGACAGTCCTATCCTAAGCAAAGCCAGGTGAATTCCACTTTGAGTAATTTAACCAGAACTTAGCATTAAATTATTCCCCTTATTCCCCCTGCAGTTCTAACAAATCAAGTTAAAAGTTTAAGGACAAGGTAGTATTTCATATGAAAAACATTAATACACATTTCTCTGCATTTTCGTGGAATACCATCCCACCTTCTCTGAAACAGAATCTCAGACTGTCCCTGAACTGAAGTCCAGGGACATTTCCCAACTCCCAGGTGTGAATGGGGGAGAATTTTCCCACTTCCTCAGTCAAAGTTCCTGGATTTGAATGTAAGATTTATGGTGCACCATTTCACATTTTCCTGCATCCCAGTTTCTGCAGAAAAGACACCTGGATTTATAGGCTGTCCAGAAGCTATGACCAATCTACTCCTAAGGTGGATGACTGGAGAACCAGGACCCCAGGAAGCATTGCAGCTTGCACATTCACACAAGGCACATGTAGCTTCTGGTGCTCTTATCTGAGGTAAGCCTGCATTATAAAGATAGTGAACAACACTATCTTTATTTTTTATATCTTTATATCTTTTTATATCTTTAGTTTTATTCTTAAAAATAAAAGTAAAGCCTGGCATTTGGATTTCCCTTTAAAAGGTCCCTACCAGAGGCCTCAGATGTGGAAGAGGTCCACCATGTACTGGAGAGAAATAAGAAACAGGATTTTTTCTCTTCAGATGTTATATAAATGCTTTCCAGTCTTTGTAAAGTGCTCCTTTGTTTAATAAAAGTTCTTTTTTTTTTTTTTTTTTTTTTTGTAAAATGCTCAGGAACATGCATTTTTCTATATTAAAATAGTATTTATTTTTGTAAATAGTGTTTTGGTTAATTTGGTACTCCCTTTTATATCCTTCCCCACTTGCATGTTACCCAGGCCCAAAATTGTCAATTCTAAACTAGCGTAAGTTTTTTTTTGGTATTCAGTTTGCTCATGCACGCTTTCCCCACCTCATTTTCATTATTTTTCTATGGTTAAATCCTAACATCTGAATCTCCCATTGATATGTAGACAAATTAGGAAATAAACTTTAATTTTTCCATACTATATTATTTTGCATTTCTAAGGTAAATAATTGCCACATTACTTTTATTATGTGAATTCTGAGTACCATAAAGTTTATTATATTTCCAATTTATTATTAATATATAACCTTATTAGGTCCCCATTTCTGAACAAGATGCAAAACCTGAAATAAACCGCATTTTTAAAAATCAATTTTTTTTTCTCAGCCGTTTTGCTTGGTGACTGATAAATATCAAGAAGTTGGTGCCACCAGTCTTTAAAGCACTGTGACTAAATATGCTAACAGATGTGGACAAGATAAATACATTCTTTTCTATTACTGCTTTTATCTATAGTATAATGCTTAACTATTAACAGGTTGAGATGTGAAAATGTAGGTGCTGCTTTTGAATCTGGTGTCCTGTAGCTGAGAAGGTAATACTTCATCAGTTAATTGGGTTACCTTTTCTGCACACGAAGGAGGCAAACTTACATAAGTGTTTGGAGGTGAATATAGACCTACTTAGACCTGCATTTCAGGAAGGCTTTCACAAGGCTCCTCTGGAGTACACTTAACTCACCCAGGCTGTTCAGTTCCCTTTGTTTCTTTATGCTTTTACATTATACATGATAATCACATATGGGTTATTTCATTTGACAATGAGAAGGTTATTATTCATGACTTTTTAATACTGACTCCCTGTACAGTTCTTTTCTATTTTTCTCAAAAAAAAAAAGAGGTTTTGAAACCACCAAGCACTTTAGAATTTTTCCTTTTATTTATAGACTTGGGAGAGCAGAAAGAGGAGCTACAAAAATAACGGTAGTCTCTACGTATTAGGGAAAAGTACTTGCTTTTGAAAGCAAGCTCAACACAATCATTGGCATTCCTAATAGCAATGTATATTTTCCTGGGCATCAGAATGACATCTCTTAAAATATCACTCTACTGAGATTTTTTAACCAGAAAGATAGAAACCTTCATTCCCTTACCACCTGGTGTCAATGACTGAGACCAACTCTCAGCCAGAAATATTAATTCAAACTTGGAATGTCTGAAAACAATACTGCAACAGCACAGGAAATGAAGCGAGAAGGGAGAAATGCATAGTATCTGGACAAACTAGAAGACAAAATGAATGGTGGGGGATTTAAGGGGATTTGTATTTTCCTTTTGCTGTTGATAGTTTGGCAAGCAGGTTATGGTGGCCATTGTATTGAATCAGTGTCCCAGATGGCCTTTTTTTAGCATCTCTTCTGAAAAGTCTTAAAATGAGTCCTAAGGATTGCCACCAACCATCAAGGGCAAGAAGAGACTAACTCCTGCAAAGAGCCAAACCTACAAGTCTGTAGCAGAGGCATTAGCTCTTGAGGACAAGAGTCATGTTTCTTTGTATTCCTAAGGGCGGAACATCGTAGCCTTGACCAATATAAAAAAAATAAAAATAAATAATAATAATAATAATCTTTTGACAAAATGGGAGGAATAGAGGAAGAAATATCCTCAGGGAGATTCTTATTGATGTCTCCCCTTTTTGTGACTTTTTTTTTTCCTACAGGAGGGTAATCCAGACCCACACTTTTCTTTACTGCTTGTTAAAGAGTCATATTAAATATGAAGTGTAATGCATTCTTTAACACTAATAGTGCCATATATAATGTAGTAGTAACTGCAACAAATTTCAAAACACACACACATGCATGCCACACAGACACACACTTCTTTTCCTATTTCTATTGTCATTATTGATGGTTATGAAGTTTTTTCAGCTGTATTACATGCACACATCTTACATGCATAAATTCAGGTTTGTGTTGGCATGTACAAGGTTATGTGTGAGCAGAATTCAAGCAAGGTTAGCTTCAGAAGAAATACGTTTGAAAGAGGATACAGGAGTGCAATTGTATATCAAATATCTAGGAAGCATCCTTCCTTTGAAGAATGTAAAAATGACAAAATTCTTATGCATAAAGAAACTGAGACATGCAGATCTCTCTGATGAACAAAAGGAATATAATTCAGCCAGTACACACTACGTCACTACAATTGAGGTGTACCAGAAATTTAGTGCCCACATAAGGCACATTTCATGCAAATGACATAGACACTCAGGCACATCTACATAAAGAATACACCACACTAGCAAGTTACAGCCTGACTCTACAAACAATTACTAAATACCTATAAGCAAAACAATCATCCAGTGCAGGTGGAGGACTGGACGGGTGAATGTGTTTATGCTTACACACATGCATGCATATTTTCAGAGCACATCTTTAATGTTTTATGTGGATGGAGAACTACTGACCATGTAGAGATACAATTCTGGAGTTTTAGGAAGTTTGAGTGCTTACTGCTTATTTGAAGAATCTGTTAATCTTGTGTTTCTATTAGGTACTAAAAAGCTTAGGTGACAGCAGGTTTACTTTGTTTTATGACTTTGTATTTGATGAATGTTAGATATTCTTGATCTAATTTTGAACCAACGAAACAAAAAGTGTCAAATGGAGAAAAAATTTTTACTGAAATTCTCACAAAATTCTGTAGTAAATCAGTCATTCAAGACAGAAAGAACCAGCTTGTATTATATTACACATCTAATGCTTACCATACTCAGCCGTTTCAACGTTGAAACATGGTAATTCCATGTTACTGATAAAATGTTCGTTTGCTATCCTGTAAATAAACAGCTTAGCAGGGTCTATAGATTTTGTGCAACCGGTTTCAGAGAGAAATAGATATCAGATTATAATGCATGTGATCTTTACCAGAAGGTGAAAAAGAGCTCAACTCCACTGCTCACCTGAGAAGGTCTGGCATACTGCTTACCATCATCAAGCAATTGCAAAGTATGCTGAGACAAGTGTGCAGGACCAGGAAGTCCAATCCCAGTAAGCTTCTTGTCACACTTTTCTATTCTTCTCAACTGCTGTCTTCCATGTGAACCCAATTTCCTGTGCACTTTTTTTTTTTTTTTTTTTTTTTTTACCTGTTGGTAGCATGTAAATTTGGTATCATACCTACCCTAGTTGTTTTCACTTTATTCCCAGAGGAACAGCTCCATCCCTTACGATCTGGAAGAACCTTACATTCCTCCCCTTCAAGACATGGTTGCATGTGGCACCACCATTTCTGCTCCACTATTGAAGCTACAACAGAAGAAAACAACCATATCTGCATGTTCTCAGAATGGACATATTAATATGTCATTATATTGCAACCTTTCTTTTGTTTTCCAGGAAAATGTTGGAAATATATTAAGTGACAGCTATTCTGCAATTTGCAGCCAGCTCAGAATCTCCATAAGAAATGAAGCCGCAATTTGCACAAGGTTCAAAGTTGATTTCTGTAGTGTGGTGGTGTTTTTTGCTGTTGTTTTCTAATTTACTGCAGTTCAGAAAGTAATTTCAGAGCATTCCTTTCCAACTCTCATTTTTTCTTGCTCAGACAGATTTCAAAGTTTTAAGCCAGCTCTCTTCTTCTTTTGAGTTAGTATATTTTGCCTGATCTACACTATAGTCTAGCACAGGCTGATTAAATTTATTCCCCAAAGATGACATATTTACTGCTTCTCTGACAGCCAACAACATATCAACAGTAAAGAGATCATGTAAAGGGTGAATCCATCCTGCTCCTCTTTCAGAGAAATAGATGTGAAAAATGAGCTGGTATTTTCCCAATTAAAACATAAAATACAATGGCAGATTTGTTAAGTAAAACATTAATACTGTACTCTGAACAGAAATATATATTTACATATAAATATATATAAATACAAAGATTTAAAAAAAAAAAACCTCTGTTCTGTTTGTTTGTATACTGCTTTATAATAAAGATAAATATATAAATAAAATGTAAGACTGCAGCATATGAAAATGATATGCTCATGTAGATTTTGTGTAAACACTTTTAATTAAGTGAATTTCATACAACTCTGAGGGCATTCTGTTAGTTAGATCAAATTTAGCTTCTCAAGAGGTCTCTTTCATTGGCATCTAATAATTTCACTTAGCATTTCCACAGAGTAATAGCAAATAATTCATTTTTCCCATCTTCCTCTCGTTCACCTTGGGCATGCCCTTCAAAATGCAAAAGCCTTCTTCCTCTTATTTTAAATAGCTAACTATAATAAACTTTTTTTTTATTGATGTCTCTAAGCTAACAAAACCCCCTAGGAACATGCAACCAAAGGAAGCAATAAAAATAGTCGCACCATCAACACAAGAAGGAGCTGCCCGGGTGGTACCTGCTACCTGCCCAGGGAAGCAGGAGCACTTCACTGTCTGTGATCTTTCTTCTATCTTGTTCTTATTGCAACATCTATGGAGTGCCACCACTTCACAGGTCCCGGTTTTAACATGGTGAGCTGTGAAAATAAGATGAGCAATTTGATAACATTGCAAGGTAGGCTCATACTGTTTGTTTTTCTGTTTTGTTGTTGTTGTTTGTTTGTTTGTTTGTTTGTTTGTTTTTAATCAGAAATGCATTAAACTAGGCTCTGTAAGGCCAAGCATGAAAATAGAATTACAATGATACTAACAGTAGAATGTGAAGATGATTTCTTTTCCAAATGTAGTATGACTATCTCAGGCAGAAAATGTTGGCTAAAGAAAAATTGGAGAAGGTTGCATACAGGACTGTTCCAGTGAAGTCGGAAGAAGAAACATTATAAAACTAACCTAGACACTATATTAATTTCTGGACTCCCATAAACACTTGTGTATTTTCTATAGCCACATCCCAATAAATAAAATAAAATAAAATAAAATAAAATAAAATAAAATAAAATAAAATAAAATAAAATAAAATAAAATAAAATAAAATAAAATAAAATAAAATAAACAAACAAACTAGGGAATCACATTTTAAGTCTCTCTGCCTGGCACTGCAAAGGTAATCTGGAAACATGAGGAATCAAAGCTTTTCAAAGCCCTGGGGGCAACAGGACAATCTTCATTATCCAGTATCCACTTGGTGATCTAACCAATTACTAGAGTCATATTACTGGAGTCCTATAAGAGGATCAGTTTGGTAAGACTGGTAAGAAAACTGCCATTCTGGTTCAGCAGTCAGTTATGAAAGGATCCAGAAATCAGAAAAATAATTTTAACAGAACTTGCAGTGGTCACTGGTAAATAAAATAAGAAACAGACAAGGTATTTCTGGGGATAGTTCATTTCCATCAGAAGGAATAGAGAAAGAATCTGAAATTTTAACTGGTATTGACCTACTACTTTGTACAGGAAGGACTACGAATTATGCAAAACAATATGTATTTTGGCAACCCCTCTATTTCATCTGCTGGTTAACTTTTTGTATGCTTTATGCAAAGCCTGTGTACTGAACAGTACATCTATCTTTCACACCCTAATGGTGAAATTGAGAGTTTTTACAAGGTAAAGGCCCTACCAATCAGCTTTCAGGAACCCAACATCTATGACTGGATCTGCTCAGCTGTTATTGCACAGTATCAGCTCTCAAAAGGGCTGAGGAAAGAGAGTATACTTGATGTAAGATATGGCCCCTGAGAATGTGCCTAGAGACAAAAGCCACAGGCAGCAATTAGACTCTGGATCTTCATTAACAAAACATAAACTACTAAACATTTCATTCAGGCAATTATGCATTTTTCAGTAGAACAAAGTCTTTGGAACAGCCTGTGATCTTTGTAGTCACTCACTACATCGTGCTACATCAGGTTAGATTATACTCTCTCATATCATGCTGTACTACAAATGAAATTATGTAACACAGTGAAACACAATTAACCCATGATCCGTCATATTGTGAGATACTGAAATATAACACATAAATCAGAAATCTAGGGGAAAAAATATCATTTTTAATTCAATTGCAAGGAAAGCACTTTGCATATTTTTATATGATGATATGAACTCTGATATTTTGATTCTTTTGATGCTGAGTGAATATTTTTATATTTTAAGTACTTTAATTATTTTCCAAACCATTTCACAGGTTGCTCTGCCAATAAGAAAATCCAAATAAATTCATTTTTCTTAATACAATTACTATAAGGGTTGGTTTTTGTTTCTGTTTTTGTGAATATAATAAAAAATAATCTAGGATATCTTTCATATGCATAATATATAAGAGAGCAAGCACATACTGCTTCTGTAAATTCACATTCATCTTTATTTTGATAGGCAATTGCATATTTTCTACACACACATGCTAACAAAAATTCAATGATTTTTGTATTATGAAAGGTACATAAAAAAAAAAAGACACAGTCTAAAAAGAAAACATAGTGAATTTCTTCCCCCTTAATTTTTCACTATATTAGATTTCAGTTCTTTTCTGTATTCTGATGTGTCTCAGTGATCTTGAAATTTTGTCCTTCAGTGTCTCATTTCATAGTTTTACACAGCTCTACCATGTCTCCAGAAATGGAGACTTCAGAAATGGTAGTATATTAGGGAGAATAGTGATACGATAACGAACATCTTTAAACTAAAAGAGGGTAAATTTAAATAAGATATTAGGAAAAAAATTTTTACTCTGAGGGTGGTGAGGCACTGGAACAGGTTGCCCAGAGAAACTGTGGATGCCCCATCCCTGGAGGTGTTCAAGGCCAGGCTGGATGGGGCTTTGGGCAACCTGGTCTGGTGGGAGGTGTCCCTGCCTGTAGCAGGTGGGGTGGAACTGGGTGGTTTTTAAGGTTGCTTCCAACTCAAATCTTTCCATGATACTGTGAAATGTCATAATACACCTGCTAAGTATATTGGTATTATGTATACCAATAGCCATCTGGAATGGAAGCCAGTTAAAAGAGTTGTTTTTAAAAGCTTTGAGAGAAATGTTCATTCTAAAACAAAACTTTTGAAAGAAACTCACTTTGTCCTAAACAGGAAATCAGGCATTTAAAGTCTCTTATCGGGAAAAAGACTATAATTAGAAGAAATGGTCACTTATATCCATGTACATTACAGAAAAGCACTTCAAGGGATGAAAAGGTATGTGAAAATGGGATAGAATAAAAGATAACCATATACTACTGATAGTGTCTTGTCATTAATACAACTGCTTTGAAATTTTCTAGATATAAAAACAAAACAACCTACTAAAGAATATATATATTTCAATCACTGAATATCTAGGCTAGCCATCCTCTAGTTTCTGTTTACCATCTAGAGTACACTATGAATATTCCTTGAAAGGAAATGCAGGGATTTCAGGTCTTTATGCTATCAAATAATTAAGTTCCTGTGCAGTAAGTACAGTATCTGTCACATTCATGCAAAATGAAAGCCTCTATGCTGCAGATAAAGGATTTCCCACAACCTAATACAAATTAACCTCATTAAGGCACTGAACCATTCCACAAAAAGGAGATAGAACTTTTGAAGATTCGCAGTTTGGTTTTGTTTCTTCTTCTCCAAGCACAGACTTCAAAGTGTGCTGTTTGCTTTGCAGAAAATGTTTACAGAACTGTCATTTCTGGAATCCTTCGGAAATTCATTATTCAGAACCACTGCAAACCCTCAGTCCTGCATCCTCAGTCCTGCTAATGCAAGTAATCCTGCCTGAAATCAATGTGAAGAAGGACTGAAGAAAGAGACTGAGAGATATCTATGTGTACAGACTGTAAAGTTTTCCCAATTATTATGTATAACGTAATATATGTATACATTACATTACAGAAGATGTAACACTGTAATATGAGCGTGTAACTTGGAAAACAGATATCTTACTCATTAACAGTATATCCTGTAATTAGCCTGCCACTTTTACAGCATTTTCTCATGTAGTGAAATTGTGAATAGCTATCTCATTAATCAGTGTGTTACTGCTACAAAAACTTGAGTGCTCACAATTATGATCCTAGGAAATATAAAGCTGAGTAATTATTATTCCTCATTGTATGCAACAGCACAAAACATTGAATGTGCTTAAAGAGTATGTTTAAACAAACATAGTAAATAACTTTAAATATATATAATTTCTACCTATTCTTGTTCTTTCACATTTCTTTACATTTCTTTTGCTTAGATGAGTGAATTTTTTAGTCATATTTGCACAGCACATATGGCACTAAATTGTAGCTCTGACTCCTTTACTTCTGTGAGAGTTTTTTTCCAGACCAGAAGACAAGATATTGTTCCAGATTATTATTTTGTAACTCACATATATATATATACATATATATTTATCATAACATCATAGATAAATCTAGCATTAAATCAAGTTAAGTTTTCTGAATTCCACTCTTCAATATGATCACTATTTCTCAGCCTTGTCACCTGATCATTCATGACCAAATCTGACAACTCTCTGGTAGGCGGTTTGAATCTTTTCTTTGCTGAAAGTTGCATAGGTAATGCATATACATATACATGGACCGTTAAAAAAATAAAAAATAAAATAATAAAATAAAATAAAATAAAATAAAATAAAATAAAATAAAATAAAATAAAATAAAATAAAATAAAATAAAATAAAATAAAAAAGGAACATGTTAACATGTTGCCATGGCCTAGATAAAATAAAACCACAGACCATATCTATATTCAGGTTCTCCATCATTGTAGTAGCCACTGTACAAATAAATTAGTGATGATAATAATAATAATAGTAATAATAGTCTCATTTATATGTTCTCTGCAAAGACAGGTATAATTGGGTAATACAGCAAAGCCAACATAATGACTAACAGTACTAAAAAATAAAATACATTGCCTCTTTTCCTACACTGATCCCTTGCTTGCCTGAACAGTGCCATTTAACAATGATAATGGTAAGCCAAGTATTTAGATGGACAGAAAAATAACCTCTCTCCTGTAGGGTTAGTTCTCTACCACTTTAGCTCTTACACCTGAGTGCAGAGACTAGTGAGAAGCAGTTTCAGCCTAAGAGAAGCAGCAGGAGCAAGCAACCACAGACGCGTGATCACCTCCTCCTGTAGAAACCTGTTCTGTATCGGCTTACAAGCTCTGTACCCTTATATGAGATAAGTGCATCTTCTTTTTTTACATTGAGATAAGTGCATCTTCTTTTTTTACATTCCAGGTAATTCCTGTGAGATCAGTGAGCCTATGTAAAATGTACAAAGCTTTATTTGCATGCATCTGTGCGTTTTCTAAAGCTCTTCACAAAAACAAATCTTTAGTTTAAACAAGAAGCAACGGATCACCAATGAGGAGAGAAACAGGATTGACTTTTAGCCATGAGTTTCAGTCCAAATTACATCTAATGTTAATCAGACTTTGGCCAATTTGAGGATTTTTTGCCTATCTTGAGGATAATCAGGAATATATCCCATATGAAATACTATAGGGAGCCAGTCTTTCAAACTATGCACATAAGTGGTCTTTATTCACATGTGTACTGACATTAAGGACTATAATA